CAAAGTACCGAGAAAAAGCCAAATGCACCAATGCTTTCTACCGCTGCTTATCAATGTCGTAATGAATGCATGCATCAGCGGCTGTCTTAATCTGCCACCACGAAACAATCGAGCAAGTTGAATAAGGATTCAGCATTATTAAATAGTTAAATGCAGAAGAGAATCTGGAAAGAAGGCCATTCACAATTTTGTGCAAAAAAAGCGAAAAAGAAAAAGCCCATGCATTCTTTTCTAAACTAGGTCTCGTGAGGATGCTGAAATAAGTTGCTTAAACATAAATGTAAACCTCTCAAGATCAATGTAACACCTGATAAGTTGCTTAAACATGCAATTCAGAATGTTAAACATATATCATACGTACATTATTTCTGAATTTGTTTAAACAAAATGAACAACTATCAGAAAACTTTTATTGAAATCCAGATCCTAATAGCATAGGAAATGTTTCACCAACGTATTTGGTGATAAGATTTATCAAGTGCTTGTGTGGTGGGCATCAGATGAGCAACCATCACCTTCTACGCTACATGTCTCATATTTATCGGCTACAAATAATATTCAGCAAATACAGGTACAAGATGTTCCAGGTTGTAATAAACCAAAGAAATGGAAACATAATAAAAAATTATTAATTTAATGTTGCTAACTGAGTTTCTAATTAACATACCTGTATAACGTTGACTAGTTGCTTGATTGCCCATCCAATAAGAGTCAATGAAAGCAGAGGAAAATAGAGCCAGCTTTGCATAGCCGCATTTACTAAAACCTGATATTAACAGGTAAAAATAAGTGCCATAAATTTATGAATCACTTTGCCATATTAATAACACATCGTTAAAGTGAGGCTTGGGCTTACTTCACTGATATTCTCAGGCTGATTCTTTCCCAGAAGAAACAAAACAATGTAAAGAACCTGCCGACCAAATCAACTAATAAAGAAAAGTCGAAAATGAGGGAGGGAAAAAGACAATTCTATTGCAAAAATGATTCACCTCACAAGACACACAGCAGTAACCCATGAACTTCCGATTTCCATAATAAAGCCTGAAAAGCCAGCTGGTGCTATCTTTGACATCCTTATGACTACTTTTCCCAACCAAGAAGGAACTAAAAATAAATAGACACAAGCAAAGAAAATTTGAAGTGCATATGAATAAGAAGGCACCCACACAAGTAAAAACCCCAAAATTGCTTTGTAAAGACACGATACAGAACACGAAAACTTTGAAGCAAGGTAATTACCTATACATTTGCAACCAATGGCTGGCAATATCTAGAGCAAGTAATGACAAGAAAATAAATCCAGGTCTGTAAGTAGTAAAAAATCAGTGTTAGAACTTAGAACTACTATTCATTGGGAGGTACAAATCACGATGTAGAATACAGAGAATGCGGAATTACCTATAAACTTGGGATAGAATAACCAAGAGACAGGCAGTACTTATTCTGGAAGTCAAGAGAACATCATGAGAGATGAGCATAAAAACATAAAGATTTATTAATTAAGTTCACGGGTGCAATAGTCATAGAATCAATTGACTTGATACCTATCAGTAACCATGTCAAGAACAGCTCCAAAAGTTGAAACTGAAATAGAAAAAGTAATGTGTGGGAAGTTATTCCAATTAATAACAAAGCTCGACAAATCTGATATTCTGATTCCATTCAACCAGAAATCAACATTTTGAATAATAACCTTGACAGGAGCTTCATAATATGTCAAATTAAGTTCCGCACTTTATTGACATTTTTTTTTTTGGATCAGTTAATCAAAAAGTTATTCAATACTCCTAGTTCATATTGATATCAGATAATTATTATCCAAATTGAACAGCAAATCATAAACCTTAACCTTGATTCAACTTGCGTGCAAACCAACCATCCAATGCATCAAAGACAAAACTGAAGAATAAAAACAAACGTTAGATGACCACCCTCATCCATTCCAAGGAAAGAAAAGAGAAAAAGAAAATTATAAAATTCTCACCTGATGAAATACAGAATAGAAAAAAGACGCTTGTTCTCAAAGCATATCGCGAAAGCAAAGCAATTCATTATAATTCTTGCATAGCCTAGCAAACACAGAAAAACACAAGATTGATTACAAAGAGAAGTGCTAATAAATCGCAATTAAAAGTGGAGTAATAAGTATAAAGTATCTGATTAATTGAGACTAACCAATAACATTGGGAACATAGAGGTAAACGGCCAATGTGCTAGGTCTTGATTTATCCGCCATCAGAGAAGAGCTTCGGGTAAATTTTTTTATTGTGAATTCTTCAAAGAACTATAGAGAACACATTGGAAAGCTTAACTTTTTTCTTCAATTTTGGATTTTAATGAATTTAGCTTCTGCTTGCTCGCTATACCAGGCTGAGTTAAATGTGACAACATATCCGTGGGGTTAGTCAATCCTCAAAACTATGAAAGGGAGCTAGCAATCCGAACCGTATTTCAAAGGTTCCTGAGACACAGCATGGAGAAGTCACAATATTAAGAAAGGAGAAACATAAGTTAGCGTTCAGGACCTCGACTCTGACACAGAAATTAGGAAGAATTGTACATAGCAACTTTAGGGGTGTTAGAAATTTAAAATAATACTTAATAGAAAGAGATAATCCTTCCTCTATCATTAGCTGAGATAGTGGACCCACAGTGTGTCATAGAAAAAGGACAAGTTAGCTTGCACATTTTGGAATAATCTTTCAAAGCTCACGTAAAGCACCTAATTTGCTTGTAACTCCCCCACAGCTTATTAGCACAAACCCATTTGGTAAAAGCTATATAAGTGTACAGTTAGTAGGCTCACTACACAGGAATTCATTAAAGCAAGAACCTTCTTCAATGCTTCTGGCTCAAATAAAATGAGCCCATAATGATTTCCTGTTTTCTTTTGGTGAATATTTCGAAATGTTTGCCATGATTATGTTTGTCGAATATATATCAACATAAAGTGAACCATTGCTAAGGAACAAGGTGCACAGATCCATTCAGAAATATTCTTCAAATGAGAATAAAGGTCTTGTTCAACTCAAATACAGTCAATAATCAAGAGCACGGAATATCATTTAGAAAACAAACACTGTGAAAAGGAGAAAGGACAAGAGAATACAACTCATTTTCAAAGCAAGCATGAAGCCATTGGGAAAGTGAAATTCGACACCCACTAGAAATAGAGCATGATTTAATTTCAGCCCAGGGTAAATGACAAAGGAAAGAGTTACTACTAAATCACCAACTAAAATTACAGCAAGCTCTTACTTCCAAAGTCGATATCACTAGTGGAAATCTGTGGGGATGCCCTGGCCCATCAATGTATACAAAGATTCAGCATTGCATACAGAGATTGAAACGTGATTCATTTATCAGACAAACAAATCGGTTCAGCTGCAAGGGAAACCTTCTAGGGATCCAAAAAGGAATCACTCATAGGTAGGTTCACAAAGGAGAGAGATACTTAAGCTTGGAGAATTGCAATAACAGATTACTCGAGAAAGTAATTTTCAACTTAACAGTGAAATAAAACTTGGGAGCTCGACTAAGTAGGCTTTTAAATAATGTTGCTCCAAAAAAATTGATAAATAGGATCGTGGCAAGGTATAATAAATATAACAAAAGGAGTATATATATTACAAATACAGGATGAACACCCAGCCGATGAAGTAAAAAAAAAAAAATTATTAATAAGTTACAAAAATATACCTTAGGGTGTTTAAAAGGGCTGGAGCCTGGAAGCATAAGTGCAAATAACAAATTGAACTGAAAAATTGGTTTGGAAAGCATTGGAAATGTAAAATAAAATGAAGTGAAGTGAGTCGAGTCTGTTCTATCTTTGCCATAATACATAAAAAAGTACATAGAGTCTTGCGGTTATAGTTCAACGAACAAGTTTATAAGAAACTTTCTTTGGAAAAGGAACACGTTGACATACCACAATAAACCAACATTAAGAAGTTGAACAGTATGTGATGAGACCGAAAGGTTTCTAATATAGAACAACTCAAAGGATCTGAATCTATGCAAGTATCTCAAGAAAAATTGGGAGATAGGATACATGAGTTAGCCAAAGATATGCATCGAGTAAAACAACAACGCGGACGTATAGTTTCAAAACTAGAAATGGGGGTTAAAATGAACAAGAATACAATTCAAGATCCACACTAAGTGACTCAAGACTTAGTAAAGAGACCAGAGAGGATTGTCAAAGTAGCAATACAAATTTCAGGATCCTATACTGCAAGATATGAAGTCCAAACAGAATGGTTTTGATAAGATAAACTGGACAAGTCAAGATGACAATCAAAGTCAATATATTCAAATGGAGCTACTAACGGAGTAATAGAGAATTAAAAAGAAAACAAACTCATCCACTCGCCAACTAAAGAATAAAAGGTAGAATGAGGAGGTGAGGCCAACATCAGATGCTCACATTAGACGGGCCAGAATTTCACCATGATCATTGAGAGTAAGGTTCACAAAGATAAACTTTCTCAAAAACATAACATATATCTGTCCTAGAAGAACAAATTTATGAATTGCTTACCACCTTTTAACAAAACAATAAGTTCACTGCTCAGAGCTAACAGGATAAACACACACACACAAAAAAAAAATGCAGAAAATTGTCCTAAAATCCAGCATAAACCCGCCATGTTTAGATATGGGTGCTGTAAGGCCACGGCCCTGGTATGAAGTTCAAGAGGATTTACCGATTATGGAGCCGCCGACCGGTGGAACTATGAAAGTGGGCAATTGGGCAGATGAATTCGATTCTTTGAAGTCGGAGCCGCCGGCTGGTGGATCTCTGGAAGTGGTCGATTGGAATGACAAAAGGCCAAACTGGTAGATCAGTTGGCCGCAGTCGGAGAATTAAGACGGCAAATGCCAGTTAGAGAATAAAGGGCTTGAAAAGAGGAAAAGAAAAATGAGAGAGAGAGAGAGAGAGAGAGTCTATCTAACATACATGGGCCGTGAGAAGGCACATGGGCTATAGACATTGAAATGGGCCTATTTAATAAAAGTTAACAACCCGTTTTTATCAGCCCATCCTCGTGAAAGGGTACGAAATTTACATCCGGAAGAATTCAACGGCCACGGTTTCCATGAGTACACACATACATCTTCATAACCTAATTGAACAGTCGAAATTTAAATAAAAATAGTTGGGTGTACAAACCCAATCCACATCGGAAAATTAAAAATTTCCAAGTCAATATATAAGCTTGGTGGACTACTCATTCTATTGTCAAATGGTATTAGAATTGCATCCCATTTGGGCTTGTATGTTGGGCTTGATGGATAACTGAATTTTAAGTTGTAGGTCCTAACAATTGGTATCAGAGCCACGGTTGGTAGCCCAGTTGCGATATGGATGACGTGGCATGTTCCCCGTGGAGCCGTAAGGGCCGGTGGATCCGTGTGCTTTGTGTCGAAAGTCTTCTTGACGAAAGGGTGTAGTCAAGCGATGGGTTCCGTGGGTGATAACGGCGGTACAAGATGGTCGGATCGTATAAATTTCGTTTAAGGGGAGGCCCAATATGGTCTTGTGTTTGATGGGGATTTGTTGAGTGTGCAAACTCAATCTCACATCGGAAGATTAAGGCCGCTGTTTGCTCTCAAAAGAGCTTTTTCATCAAGTTTAGCTGTTTGACTTTTAATCAGCTAAAATAAAGTGTTTGGTAAATAAAGGTTAGAAATAGCTTTTTTGGGTCCAACAGCCAATTTAGAAAATGTTGGTTTTAGCAGCGTTTCAGATTTAACTTTTCATTCAAAGTCTTGATTGCCCTTTCTCTCTCCACACAGTTTCACAAAAAAAAAAAAATGGCAGCGTTATCTCGCTTTTCTGATTTTGCATATTTATAGGTTTGTTTTGCGTTGTGATTGGGGCAAACTTAAATTTGATTTATTGCGTGATGTAAAAATTGGCTGCTAATTGATGTTTTATAATTCGATGAGGTGTTGTTACAATGTTTAGTTTAGCTCAGTAGTATTTATATTTTTGTCGTATTTAAATTATTTTAATAAATATTTATAATATTAAATATTTCTATTTTTTAAATAATTATAAGTTCAACATAAATTAGAATGATAAAGTAAGTTGATGTCCTTATGAGTAATTTTACATGTTAACAACTATTTAAAAAGGCTAATTTTACCAACTATTTTTTTACAAACCGTTAACACAATCAGCTGGTCAAAAAAGCTAATGCAATCCGCTAGTCAAAACAACTAATACAATCAGCTAACAGCTAACCACTGACAGCTGATTACCAAGCAAGGCCTAAAAATTTCCAAGTCAATATATAAGCTTGGTGGCTACTCATTCTATTACCAATTGGTTTCAGAATGGAATCTCATTTGGTCTTGTATGTTGGGCTTGATGAAAAACTAGGCTTTGAGTCGTTCATACTAACAATTGATATCAGGGCCACGGTTGGTAGCTCTGTTGCGATGTGGATGACGTGGCATGTTCCTCGTGGAACCGAAAGGGCCGGTGGATTCGTGTGCCTTGTGTCGAAAGTCTTCCTGGCGAAAGGTGGGGTCAGGCGGCGGGTTCTGTGGGTGATAACGGCGGGACAAGATGGTCGGATCGTATGAATTTCGTTCAAGTGTACGCTCAATGTGGTCTTGTGTTTTGGGGAGGTTTGTAGGGTGTGCAAGCCCAATCCCATATCGAAAAATTCAAGGTTCCAAGTCCAATATATAAGTTTGGTGAGTTACTCCTTCTATTGCCAATTAATTTTAGAATGAAAACCCATTTGGACTTGATGGAGAATTGAGTTTTGAATTGTTGATTCTAACTGTGGTCACAGGCGAAAAGGCCAGAGCCCGCCAGAGCCGCGTCTCTTTTACTGAGGGTGATCAGACTTAACCCCGTCACATCCTATTCGAAAAGGCCAGAGCCCGCCAGAGCCGCGTCTCTTTTACTGAGGGTGATCAGACTTAACCCCATCACATCCTATTCGACTGGCCGTAGTTCCAACCTTCTCCATGAAATCTAGCTATCCTAGGGTTGGAATTTTAGGATCCCAAGGTCGGGGAATCGTTTGACCAGCCCTCATTGTTTTGTGCTACTACCATATTTTTCTTGACCAAGCAGAGGTCGGGCTAAACCTTCCCCAATTTGGTAAAACTCAACCGACTTTACTGTCTTTCCTTAAACCATTTCTTCCCAAATTCAATTCGTATCCTGGTCGGTTTCATCATACTTAGCCGAGCTCGGCTTGGCAGAATAAACCCTGACTTATGTTTCTACTGCTTTTGGATGAAGCTTCACAAAGGTTCTTATTACCTTTCTTGTCGCAATGGTACCAGTTTCTTCAAGCATCATCATTCCAAGGTTGCCCACTAGAAAAAATAAAATAAAATAAAATAAAATAAAACTATTTTATCTGACCCCCTCCTAGCACCTTTGACCTCTACCCTGAGTGGCTCCACGAGCTCCCCGGCCAGGTGAAAAGTCCCAAGCCCTGAGTACGATCCTCTGATCGCCAAGTGGAATGAGCGACCTTTCCACATTGTGAAACTTACAAACGACATGCGATTCCTTTCTCACAACGGGCTGCTGCATGATCTGCCATGAGTATGAGGTGCTGCATATGATCTGCAGGGCCATACTTGAACATAACATGACAGGTGGAGAACAGGAAAAGGTGACACCAAATGATGCCCTCTCAGATTTAAGTAATCTTTTGCTGGAGCTAAAGGATATATGGCTGTGGACATGTGATCTAAAATCGCTAGGTTAGTCGGTTTTCTTACCTCATAACTGTCATCATGACTATCATTTGCTAGCTAATTTGCAGAATCAGTTTGTTATAACAATGTTTTTCTTTATCTATGGATATTGACCAAAATTCGTGTTTTTTTTTTCTTTTTTACGCTGTATGTTTCCTTTTATCAATGCAGGTAGAAGAAAAGCCTGGATCTTTTTCAGGATGATCTAGACGAGCTGAATTTTCGTGTCAAATGATCCAATTGGATACACTGCTATTTGAACCATGGCTAGGGCTCCTGTGATCTCATGTGATCCATAGTTTCTAATGATAGTCTGTAGGTATGATATTTTTACCCGTGCCTGTTAACTTTTAATGGTGTAAAACTCTTACACATTTAAAATATAAATATATTTTTAAATTTTATATTTCTTATATGTCATCTTTTAACTTTGGAATGACATCTATATCGTATAAAGAAATAAAATATATATACAGATATTTAAATATATATATATATATATATCTAGCCAAATTATTTGTCAATCTTGATGAAAAACTAATATTTATCAATTAAGAACCTTTCTGTCAAATCTTTTGTATGAATGAGATAAAATGTAGCCCATCCTTGCGACATGCATCGTTTTAAATAATAACTACATTACAAATTCAAGCAGTTGACAAAATATTAGATAAAAAAAAAAAAAATCGCTTTTCTATATTTTAGTAATTTTTTGGACAATTTCTCAACGTTGTTGTGATACAGAAGTGTTGTACGGGTTATTATATTAACTATACCGTTATTTGCTATGTCATAATGTCAATCAATGAATAAAAAATAGGCTTCCTAAAGAATAACTAGCCTAATGTGGTACCATAATTAGTCTTATATACTGAAGTGAAGATTTAATTATAACCATACCTGTATTAAAAAAAAAAAAAAAAAAATGGAATTCATTAAATTCAAAGGGGTATGTTGCAAAGGGGTTATATATATAAGATCCCACACAAAAGGATTTTACGATCATCTAACTGCATCAAGATCATCTACATTAATCTCCTCTAATTACAGTTAGATTTTTACGACAAAGCACAAAAACCACACAATTTCAAGCCCTTGGATGGCAAGAACCATATTATTCTCAACAATGATTGGCCCAGCCTGTGCTGGAGCTTAGAAAACATTTCATTTATCAGTGTATATCACATGCCCAAGGAGCATGACAGTGCTCAACAAAATGTCATATCCATTTCTGGCCCAAGAGGAAGCGCCAGAATTGCTTGCTAAAAAAGGCCCGCATTCGCTTGACATCCAAGGCCCAAGCAACAACGCATGGACTAACCCAACTTTCGTTCAGATATGCATAAAGGAAGTTGGACAGCAAATCTTGGACGAACCACTCTTCATTTTCAGCCACATTATACCTAGGCATCTCTCCCGAACTCAAGTGACTACATATCCCTGGATAAAAAGTCTTAACATTTGTCTTCTTCTTCTATTATAACAATGGGTTAATCAACCAGACTGTCAGTTGCAACAAAAACTAAAACTAGAAATGCTCAGTTAAATGTTGGCCAGATAATAATAGATTACAGAGTTAAGACTTAAGAGTATCACAACACTAGTCCAGAACTGGTCGAAAAAAAAAGATCAAAATTAACAATGTAGAAATATAGTACATGATATGGACAAAAACTACCAAAACCCAAAACTGTTTTTTCTCATGAAGTTGTTAAATCAAAATCTCTGAACATAAATATCAGGGGTCACCAACCAAACAAACTAGGTTCATATGTTTCACCATAATTTTCAGTTTCCAGGTAAAATAAAACAAACATATCAAAGCACCAAAACAAGCTCTTTCCACGGTAAGTGATGGGACAGATTTCAAAATTTTATCAGCAACCAGAAAAAGGAACACTGCCTACGACGACGACGGAACAAGATCACGAGTTTCATGAAATCTGTATCTAGATTTACAAGCAATGATAACTTTTAACAATACACATAATGTCTGAGCACAGACCACAGGCTGTCAACAATTTGTTAAAACTGCATCCAGACACGGAGGGAAAAATTTCTTAACCCTGCAAAATATTCGAGCACAGGCATCGCAACATTTCTTTCCACAAAAACAATAAAATAATCAAGAAAAAAGAGAGCTCTGATTTAGTTAATAGAATCGATAGGACCCACAAATCTCATAATGTACTACACAATGCTTAACAATAAATGTAACACAGCACGAATAAAAGAACTTAAGGTGAGACAGGGCGTGCTTCTAGTTTGAAAATTTTGTTTTCAATTTAAGGGAGAATTATCAGTTTTTAAGAGCGAATGGATGCTAGGATGTAATGATGAAAGCTGAAAATTTTGTTTTCCATTTTAAGGAAAGAATTATCGGTTTTAAGAGGGAATGGATACTGGAAATGTAGTGATGAAAGCTGATGAGCTGTAAATAATTTACAATAATGATGGAAAATGATTTGTAGTTAAAAAAAATGCAAATTGGCAAATAGTTGATTATATAGGAAAAAGTGTAGCATTAACAAGTTCTCATTTGTGAAGCATCTAAATGTGACTGAGTGAGCAAATACTTCCTGGGATATGGTAAATCCAATAACTTTGGGAACAATTGTTCTGTTATAGAATGATACTAAAAATGTTTCATATTCAATTGTGCGTTCAGGATGCCACAATGAACTTAATCTTCTAAAAAAATCTTTAAGGTAAATATGGAATCCAATTCCAATGAATTGTAAATTACACAGGATAGGGTCACACATATTTCCAATCCAGTTGACATATACACCTGTATGTGCGCTCATTGATAAGCAATATGCATTCAGCAAAAATAAAGGAACACATTAAACAGGCGTATCTGCCAAAATGTTTTATAAGCCAAAGTTGCACCGTGACAAATAAAGGACAGAAATAGACACATTCTACAGGACGCCACTTGTAACAAAGGTATGTAAAATATAAAGGACGTTCAACATTAAACAATAGAAGTAGCAATTACAAGCACCTAGAAATACTGGAAACTAGATAAAATGAAGCTTGAACATAAAAGGGGGCAAAATCAGGTTTATCATTTCTGATCTCATTCTAGCACATAAACTGCTCATTAACCCACAACTTATAGGTAACCAAATAGTAGCAGATTGAAGCAGCCAAAGATCTACAGCAGTCCATTTATCAACCAAAGATTTCACAGTCCGCAATCAATAATCACCATAACCATTTAAAACATTTGCTCCCAAGAAGCTGTCAAAAACCTGAACACGTAAACATGCAAAACTCAATCCATCATTCGAATTGCAAACTCAAATATATTGTAACATGTTAAAATTGTAAGCCTGCTTCCTAAGAAAGAACATGAGAACAGAAAATAAAGGATAGCATAATACATATAAGAAACTTATTTCAACAGAAGGCATAATACAGCATAATCCACAGTTTACCCAGTACAACTAAATGAGAGGCAATGCTCCTTATTGTTATATACCTCAACCAGTGATTAATACAGTTGTCTAACTTCAATGGCACACGGTGTATCACCACTATCAAGGATTTAGGTGAATTGTAGGACATAAATAATGTTATTAGTGTCACATTTTGATTATTTTTCTAGCTACTAGTCTAACACATACGGGTACTCACCTAACTAGGATGACAGCATGCAACGAATTAGCAGTTATACGGTATATAGAAATACCAAAACAAAATATCCATTACCTCAGTATGGGGGCATGCCCTGATAAGCCGAAAACCTAGGACCTGGACCTGCAGGATGGTTCGGATGGGGCGGGTACCCTGCCTGGGGCCCGTAGTTGCCACTATCCGGATAACCCCCTGAACCCTGCATCCCAATACTATTAGGTGGCATTTTGTATGATCCAGTATTGCCCATTGGTCCAGCATACTCCCCAGGTCCTGCCAAACCTACACTATCATAGCCAGAAGCAACACCTCCATAGCCACCAACATAACCTTGTCCACCAGGGCCCCCGGGACCAGAGATCGGTGTGTTATAACTTGCATTCTGATGCATCACTCCAGTCTGGTTGGAGTGCTGAGACATATTTGGGCCAAGCCCATATCCTGGATAGACTCCCATTGGGTAATTCCTGGGTGGCATGGGCCCAGAAGCGGGCATCCCAGGTCCAGGTACATTTCCACCAGCTGACCCGGTATTTGGCTTCTGCTTCTTGTTATCTGTAGCCAACTTACAGACCACCTGATGTCCATCAATGGTTTTCATGGGATCGACCAAAGACGCCTTTGCAACCTCCTCTGTCTTGTAAACAAAAAACGCAAAACCCTTGGCTTTCCCAGTCTGCTTGTCAAACCCTAATGGCCCTTCCTCAATCTCGCCGTACATGGAGAAATGCGCCAACAGCCTCTCAGACGAGATCTCAAAAGGAATATTACCAACATAAATCTTCCTCAGCGCCACGTCAGCAGAGTGAGAATTACCTGAACTGCCGGCGGCTGCGAGATGAGTCACCGTGATGCGTCCGTCTATCTTCTTATTCGGCTCCTTTAGAGCAAGGACGGCGGCGTCAATGTGCTTGAACGTGACGAATCCGTAACCCTTGGATTTGCCAGAGCTCTTATCGGTGATAACGATGGTGTTGGCTTCGTCGAGTTCGCCATAGGCAGAGAACACCTGGCGGAGTTTCTCCGTGGTGGTCTCCCATCCGAGGCCGCGAACGAAGAGTTTACGCTGAACAGGATCCGCGTCGGCGACGGCGCGCACGGCCTCCAGGACATCGGGGTGGCGGAGGATGGCGGCGCGTAGGATAGGGAGGATCTGCTCCTTCGTGAAGGGTTCGAGGATTTTCTCCGCGTCTTCAGGGGATAAGGTGCCGGTCGGAGCCGGCGCCGCCGCCGCCGCCATCGGGTTGGTGTGTTCTGTGGTTAAGGGGTATGCCAAGCCGTTATCGTCTGCCTTGCGCTTCTTGGTAAGATCCATGAATGGGATTAGAAAACCCTAGGAGAGAGAGTCTATCGAGATTCGAGGGTGTCCCCTTCTGAAAAGAAAACCCTACTGAGATGATGTGTATTAAACCGTTTCTCATCGCTCTAGTACTCTACTCACGTCTTAATACGACGCCGTATTGTCCGCTGGTTTAGGTATTGGATCATGGGCTGGTGGTCTGTTTAGGCCCTTCTTTCTCGTGGGTACTTCCAAAATCTTATTGGGCTCTACATGGAAAAGTTGAGATCTTAAAAATAGTTTCACCAATTTTGAAAGAATAATATTATTGACTTGTTTATTAATAGTCAACCTTGGAGTAATGTTCACCTACTCACGGTGTGCACATGTTAATATGTTGGTGATGTATTTTTTAAAACATATTAACATCATCAATGTGTGCATGCCACATAAATGGTGAGCATATTAACATGTGTCCACCGTGGGTAGATGAGCATTATCCGTCAACCTTGTGTTAGTAGTTTTGGCTGACAAATTAAATTAATGTTAATAAAAAGGTGTTGGGTAAAATTAAGGGTTTGCTATAGTTGTTACAGTTAAATTGTTATAAAATCAAAAATTACTTACATTTTCAAAAACTAAATTCAATTAATAATACATGGAAGAAAAAAAGTTCTTACCTTGAATATATGAAACAAGGATCTGAGTAGTAATTCAATAAATAAAAATATAATGAATAATGAAATGCATCCAAGTAGAGCGGGCAAAACCACTTTAGCCCGCGGGTCGGCCACCCACCCGCAGAAGGGCAGCTTGGGCTTGGAAATTGTAGGCCCGGTAGGAAGCAGCCTCAGCGGGTTAGCCCGCACAGGCCGTAGGGCTAGGCGGGGTAGGGCGGGTCATAATTGAAAAATAATAAATAATACACTATGTCATCAATAATACAGTTTTGTTATGGAATCATCGGATGACACTGATGGAGTCATTCGCACTTATTCACAAATAGTGTTTGTCACGTGTCCTACAATAAATACATCTTAGACACGTGTCAATATATTAAGTGATAGATTGGAAAACCATTCTCCATAGACTTTGTGACCAATAACAACCCCATAAGCCCACACGCTGAGCCAGTATAGTGACAACGATGTCATAATTAGGGCTGTAAACGAGCCGAGCCGAGCCGAGCTCGGCTCGTTAAGTAAACGAGCCAAAAATCGTGCTCGAGCTCGGCTCGTTAAGGCCTCGAGCTCGAGCCTTAACGAGCCGATCTCGAGCTTTAACGAGCCGAAGTATAGAAAAAATACATAAATTTCACTTTTCGAGCCTTATCGAGCCGAGCTCGGCTCGTTAACTAAACGAGCTTTAAATGAGCTCGAGCTCGGCTCGTTAAGGCTTCGAACTCGAGCCGAACCGAGCCTTAACGAGCCGAGCTCGAGCCGAGCCGAGCCAGGCTCGTTTAATTTAACAGCACTAGTCACAATTCACAATTGAAAAAATGAGGTAACTCATCTATCCAATTTTCACAAGAGACTCCAATTTTCACAAGAGACGGCTGATTTCTGAAAAATCTCGATTCCCAAGGTTACATGCAACAAGTATTGACTCGAAATCTAGATTTGCCTTCTAATTATTTTTTTATTTTAGTTTGATTATTGGAGTGAATTTGTGAGTCAACAACTTTGAGTTGTAAATATGTTGAATCTGAATCTCTACTGAAGCTACGTGCATTGAAGGATTTGATATCCATTGATTTCAAATTTTTTGAAATATAATTTTTCTACTTTCAAACTCCTATATTTGTAGAAAAGATTATATATCTGTTGTCTAGCTCACATTGGTAGTGTTGATTCGCGGTAGTGATGAATCTAAATGAAGCGTCTTACTCGCGGGCGATGTGGTCGTCAATGGTGGGATAAACAGTGGATTTCAAATTACTAGGTTCTAGAAGTTATTTACTATCCTTCACAATAGTGACTAAAATCCTTCAAATTACGAGGTTCTAGAAGTCATTTACAATCCTTCAAAATAATAACTAATATCTATCTATCCCGAATTTGAAATACTCAAATTTCTATTATCATCCCAATTCCCAGCATGCATAGGGATTTGAACTTGTAAATTTGAAGTTTATAGAGTTTAAATCCCTCAATATCACTTTGCTAAGCCCGCCCAACCCACGGCCCAAGGCGGGGCACGTCAGGATGTGGATTAAAATGCATGCCAAAATCATGTAGCATAGTAGAGCTGCCAAGCAAATTGGCTCATTAATTAAGGCCCATAAACGAGTTCGAGTTTGATTCATTTATCAATATTAACGAATCAACCTTAGGTAAAAACACATAAAATTATGTAAAAACCTCTTTTATTGAGACTACGAGTGGAACCCAACTCATAGGCGGCCCGTCACTTTTAGAAGGGTCTATGTACATCCAAATTTATTGTTTTGACTAATTTGCTCAAGGTGCAATCTCATTTCCCTCATAAAATATACATCAATCAATTGCACTCATTTTTTTTTTTTTCCCCTTAAAAAGGAAAAAATAAACAGAAAATTGCATCAAGTACACAACAATCAACTAGTCTAGTAAGGCAAGCTCTTGGAGCTTGAACTAACCACCAATGCCTTAAGCTTCAAGGCATCCTCATCCCCATCCCTTGCCCGACTCGTGATCCTCTCCAAATTCTTATACAAACTCTCCTTCACGATTTTTCTCATCAACACCTTCCCCACCACCTCTGCACCCCTCCGATCGTCCACGGGTAACCCAATCGCCGCCCTCCTCCCGACCTGCGGGCCCGAGTGCGGGCCCACCCTCATTTGCCGCTCGTCCTTAAACCACTGCAGTATCTTGAGGGCCCTCTTTCGGGCCAACGGGCTTCCCAGCAAAACCAGCCCGAGAAGCACCTGAACAATCCCGGCCTCGGACATCTTCTGCCTCATCAACGGGCTCTGGTGGGCCAAGACCATCAATACGTAAGCGGATAATTCTTGGCACTTTGGGCTTTCTTCCCACGCCGTGATCTCTATGAACCGGTCGGGAACGGCCGGATTTCGCTCGATCGACCTTTTCCCGGCGAGGGTCACGACCAAGTTTGATAAAATCGCTAGGGCTTTTTCGGCCGTTTCTTTAGTGGACGACAGGTTTATTAAATAGTCGATGGTACCGTTGGAAGTTAAAATTTCGACGTTTTCTAGGACCGACGAGAGGTTGTGCAGAGCGGTTAGGCATAGTTTTTTAGTCTCGATGCGTGAACTAGAATCGAGAATCAAGATTATAGCAGGAATGAGTTTTGACGAGTCGAGGGAGAATTTGGTGTTGGCTAGGGCCGATATGGACGAGAGGAGATGCGCGAATTCTTGTTTGGAATTCTCGTCTTTTCCAAAACTTATGTTGTCTGGTAATTTGGATAAAATCCCTGCCTCCACCATCAAAGCCTTGGTCCTGAAAGAATATAATGGACAAACATCAATGCTTTGTGATCATAACCTGCTTTTAGACATTAAGCTGAAAATGATTTGAGCCATTTTCAAGCATGTGGGGCTTCTTCTTACAACCTTATATTTGAATTTTGATGGTCCGAAAGAGACAGTGCAGAAAATAGAGACATTAAAAGCAAAGGGAATAAGTCAGCAAGAATCTTTCAACCGAATCTGACTTTTGAAAAATGAAGTCAAATGAATGGAGTTTATGATACTGAATCACCAACCATGCTAAACTTTCAACTACTATTGACTCCTTTTTTGTCACCATGAAATTAAGTTTCTTGCTAAAGTAGAATTATTCAACTTAAAAATACCTCAAGCTAGCTGCATGAACATATTGCAGGATGTCTTTTTTCGATGAAAAAAAGGGAAGAGGGAAAGTAGTTATATTATAAGAAGATGTTAGGGTCCCGTTACAAAATCATTCTGTCGGGGTTTTGTAACAGTAGATCGATGAAAAAAAGGGAAGAGGGAAAGTAGTTATATTATAAGAAGATGTTACGGTCCCGTTACAAAATCATTCTGTCGGGGTTTTGTAACAGTAGATCAATTATCTCTGACGATTACACGTACGGTTACATGATGATTGATCTAACAGTTACAAAACCCGACAGAATGATTCCCTAACGGGACCTCAGCATTTTCCTATATTATAATCCTACCACTTGCAAGAGGAATATAAGGAAATGATTTGAATTGAGAGGCTTAGTAATAAGTGATTAAGTGACTTGGGTGAGAGTAGTTTTATGTCATTATCAACATCATCAAAATTTGAATCAATGGCATGGCCAAAAGTCCTCGTTGCATATTATATAACACGTGTTTTGTTTTTTGTTTTTTGTTTTTTTTTTTCAATTTTCTGAACAAACGAAAGAATGTCCGGCAAGAACAGCCAAATACGAAAGGTAAAACAACAAATTAAAAGGCCACACCACACGAAAGCAATAGAAGCTACAGCTAAAATGGAGCTTAAGGTAAAATTTGAACAAAGGAATCTGATTATGGATTATAACTTCTCTAAGTCAAAAGGCATAATTAAGGCCACAAACTTCTACTCTCAGCCCCCAAAAGGATCTTCAAATCATTTTAGATGGACCCAAAGTCAATTACGAATGCTCGGATTATCGTTAGACCACCGATATAATTACACTTGCAGAAACTAGCACCACATTTCGATATCAAAATTTCGATAGGCAAATCGCGCTTGAGCAAACTCTAAGAGTCAATGGCTATTAGTCCATTATAGTTGATTTTCCTTTATACAAATACTGCAAAAAAATTCTTAATGCTTGGTTATAAATTTCTATCACTTCTTCATAAAATTCATTGAAATGTATGTCCCCTTCTCCCCCTAAGTTGCTGCAGTATTATGTTATGATTATCAAGCTTAAAAGATATCATGCATATAGGATTAACAACTACAAACTCCTCCTCACATATATGAATTTTATCCACCAAGAAAAAATAAATAAATAAATAAATAAATCAATTATCCCTCTTTTTTTTTTTTTTTT